TTAAACACTTCACCCGTTAATATCAATACCGCTCTCATTTCTGCGATCAGCTCTCTTGTGGACAAATGCAATGCTGCACCATCTACCGATACGCAGAGTTATAGGAAGCTACGGATGTTTTCTGGAATGCGCCCGATCCCTAATGGTGAAGAGGAGTATGACGCCTGGGCAGAACAAACTACACATATGCTGGAAGAGTGGCAATGTGGTGATGCAATAAAGAAACAAAGGATTGTGGAGAGTCTCAAAGGTCCGGCGGCTGATATAATACGATTTCTAAGAGCACAAAACCCAAATGCAACTGCAAATGGCTACATGCAAGCACTGGAAACAGCGTTTGGGACCACAGAAAATTCATCTGATCTCATTGTGAAGTTCAGACAAACATTTCAAAGTGAAGGTGAAAAACTGTCTCTGTATCTGCTCAGACTCGACAAACTGCTGCACTGCATTTTCAGAAAAGGAGGTGTACAACTAGCTGATATGGATCGTCTTCGCATTGAACAAGTTGTGCGAGGTGCACTTCCACATGACATGATGGCAATGCGTATCCGCATGACGCACAAACTAAGGCCTGCGCCTTCCTTCAATGAACTTTTGAAAGAAGTTAGAGAGGAAGAGGACATGTTGCAAAGCAGGAATGATACCAAAAGTGCTGTAATGTCAAAAGCAGTGTATTCAGTCCCTAAGACTGCACCTGAATCCAAGATTGATTCTGAAGTGGAAAAACTCAAAACTGAATTGAGTGCAATGAAAGCTGAAATGAGAAATCTCAAAATTGCAACCGTTGCAGCAGCATCAGCTCAGACGGATACAAAAAATCTCAAAGCTGAACACACCACCAAAAGCAAATTCAGAAGAGAGACGCCTCCACGAGACAAAAAGACTAATTTGGACCAACCAGGAATATTTTGTTATCGATGTGGAGAGGATGGACACTACATGAGAGAATGCAATGGAGAAGAAAACCTTCTAAAAGTAAACAAGCGCCTTATCAAACTCACAAAGAAATCGGGAAACTATCACGGGGCCCAGTAGTGGAACGTTTTGGCGTCCCTGATGTAAAGACACGTTCCAAGAGCATCAAAACAGAGAAACAAGTGGAAGACACTATCCCTGAAGGCTTAGTTGGCCCAAGTTCTACTGTACCTGTACAGATTGAAGGCATTTACGCTAAAGCCATTCTCGACACCGGTTCTCAAGTCACGCTGCTCTATCGATCCTTCTATGATAAGTACTTGAAACATTTACCATTGATATCCATCAGTGCTCTGCAGATCTGGGGTCTCAGTCCTGCTGATTATCCATATGATGGTTACTTGTCACTCAAGCTACAGTTCAGAGAATCAGATGTAGGTGTGACCGAGGCCATTGATGCACTTGTGCTAGTCTGTCCTGATCCCGTTGTGAAAGATAATGCCTCTATCCTTGTTGGCACAAACACCCCCACAGTGAGCAGGCTTCTAAGGAATTACAAAGAGAAAGGAGGAAACTTTACAGCAGTAAAACACATTCACCCCGCATTCAAAAAGGCTATGGAGGAAATGTCAAAGTCCCCAACTGAAACTGAAAGCAACCAAAGAGGATCTGTGTGGTTTGCACAACCAAAGCCAGTAATAATACGCCCAGGTGGTGTAGCAAGGATCAAAGGTGTGCGCAAATTTCAAGGGATTCCCAGTACCCAAGCCATTTTGGTGGACTCACCCGATGATCTTGCAGAACAACCAAGGTTCCGAGATCAGCTCTTAGTGAGACCCGAGCTGCAGCCAGTCACTATTTTAAGTTCCAGAAGAGTCACTGTGCTGGTCAGTAACAACTCATCTAAAGAAGTAACATTGACCAGAGGCACGTTAGTTGCCCACCTGTTCCCTGTTGATGTGTTGCCGACACCCACAGTCAATAAAGAGACCGATCTCAAGACTTCAAAGGAAGTCACTGAATTGTCTTTTGACTTTGGAACTTCGCCTGTTCCCAAGAAATAGAAACAAAGACTTGTGAACAAAATGTTGGAACGTAGCAATGTCTTCTCAACTCACGAATTTGATGTTGGTTGTAGTAAAAGTACGCAACACACTATCAGAACCACCGAGGACAAACCTTTCAGGGAAAGATCCCGTCGCCTTCCGCCCACTGATCTTGAAGCGCTTCGACAACATTTGTCAGATCTAAAAGAAGCTGGCATAATCAGTGAGTCACGTAGCCCATACGCGTCACCTATAGTGGTTGTACGAAAGAAAACCGGTAAAATTCGTATGTGTGTGGATTATCGTACTCTAAACAGGCGTACTCTCCCTGATCAGTACACGGTGCCTAAGATCGAAGACGCACTGACTTGTTTGAATGGAAGCAAATGGTTCAGTGTCTTAGATCTCAGAAGTGGCTATTACCAAGTGCCTATGAGTGAAACAGACAAAGAAAAAACTGCTTTCATCTGTCCGCTTGGTTTTTACCAATTTGAAAGAATGCCACAAGGAGTTTCGGGAGCTCCTGCAACATTTCAGCGAATCATGGAAAGAACTGTGGGTGACATGAATCTGCTGGAGGTTTTGGTCTATCTGGATGACCTCATAGTGTTCGGCACAACACTTGCAGAGCACGAACAAAGACTTTTAAAAGTGCTCGACCGCCTTAAAGAAGAGGGACTCAAATTGTCGTTGGATAAATGCCATTTTTGTCAACCATCCGTGTCCTATGTCGGTCACATTGTATCTCAAGAAGGTGTATCTACAGATCCTCAGAAGACGGAAGCAGTCACCACCTGGCCAAGACCAACCACTGTAACTGCTTTACGATCATTCCTTGGATTCTGCGGATATTACAGACGTTTTGTGCAAGACTACTCAAAAGTTGCATTTCCGCTGAATAATCTTCTGTCTGGATACCCACCCCACACGAAGAGATCCAAGAAAAAGCAGGATCAAACCTATCTCAACCCGTCAGAGCCATTTGGATGTCGGTGGGACGACAAATGCGAAGCTGCTTTCAATGAGTTGAAACACAGACTCACAGAAGCCCCAGTCTTAGCCTTTGCAAACTCGCAGTTACCATATGTGCTTCACGTTGACGCAAGTCGAGAAGGACTTGGAGGAGTTTTATATCAAGACCAAGGTGAGGGACTAAGACCAGTCGCTTTCATCAGTCGAAGTCTAACTCCATCCGAACGTCATTATCCTGCTCACAAATTGGAGTATCTTGCGTTGAAGTGGGCTGTTGTTGATAAGCTGCATGATTACCTGTATGGCGTCAAGTTTGAAGTCCGAACCGACAATAACCCATTGACTTATGTGTTGACGTCTGCCAAGTTAGACGCAACGGGCCACCGTTGGCTTGCGGCTCTGTCAACATATGAGTTCAGCCTTCGATACAGAGCAGGAGTTCAAAATATCGACGCTGACGCTTTGTCAAGGCGCCCGCACCCCAATAAAGATCCTGAAAAGCAATGGACGGAAATCTCTACAGATGGCGTCAGAGCCATGTGTCAAACGTCAACTGCAACCAAGAAAAACATCTTTCCTGAAAGAGCAGTTGATCACTTGGGCTCGTCAGTATGCGCCATACCCACAGCCTACTGTGATCTTTCCACTCTCAGTCTCAAGGGGATGCCAATTCTAAGTCCCTCTGAGATCTCAAAAGCTCAAAAAGAAGACTCTAACATAAGTGAACTATGGACAGCTCTGAAAGACGGAAATTCAAACCAAGTCAAATCAAAGAATCCAACTGTCTTGCTACTATTAAGAGAGTGGAATCGTTTAAAGTTGAAAGAAGATGTTATATATCGATACACTGTTCCGCCTGGCCGAAACGAACGTTCACAACTCGTTTTGCCAGAAAAGTTCAGAAAAACAGTCATGAAAGCACTTCACGATGATTCTGGTCATCTGGGCATTGATAAAACTTTTGGACTCGTGAAAGAGCGCTTTTACTGGCCCAGAATGAAATCCGACGTTGAAGAACACTGTAAACTTTGTGCAAGATGCATTAAAAGAAAGACACTTCCAAAGAAAGTAGCCCCACTTTTTCACATGCGAAGTGAGGGCCCAATGGATCTTGTGTGCATGGATTTCTTGTCCATCGAACCAGACTCCAGCAACACGGAGAATGTCTTGGTCGTTACTGATCACTACACCCGTTATGCCCAAGCTTTCCCCACGAAAAACCAGAAAGCTGCAACCGTAGCCAAAGTTCTTTTGGAGAAATACTTTGTTCACTACGGTTTGCCAAAACGCATGCATAGCGACCAAGGACGAGATTTTGAGAGTCGTCTCATTCATCAGTTGTTGAGTTCCCTTGGTGTCGAAAAATCAAGAACGACCCCATATCATCCACAAGGGGATCCCCAGCCCGAGAGGTTTAATAGGACCTTGTTAAATATGCTTGGAACCCTGGAGCTGGATAAGAAAAGAAAATGGAGTCAACACGTCGCACACTTAGTCCATGCGTACAACTGCACGCCAAACGAAGCTACTGGTTTCTCGCCTTACTATCTAATGTTCGGGCGTGAGGCAAGGATGCCTGTGGACCTTTGTTTTGGAACATCAAGCGACAACGCATGCAAAGAGAACTACCTCAAATACGTAATGGACATGAGAAAAGAACTCAAAGCTGCATACGAACTTGCAGAGTCAGCTGTTGCAAGACAAAACAAAGGAAACAAACAAAGATATGATCAAACGATAAAGTTCACACAACTGTTACCTGGAGATCGTGTTCTCATACGCAATCTTGGATTACAAGGAAAACATAAGCTGGCAGACCGCTGGGTTTCAACACCTTATGTTGTGGAAGGTCAAATGTCACCTTTACCTGTGTTTCGGCTGAAACCAGAAGATGGAAATGGACCTATCAAAATCCTCCATCGCAACCACATTTTACCTCTTGGACAGAGAGTATGTTTGACAACAAATCAAAACTCAGACCCTGCTCGAAAGAGGAAAGTCACAAGGAAAAAGAGACATAAAGAAAGCAAAGACAATGACAAAGATTCATTCGTACAACCTGAAATGTCTGAACAAGACAACATAGATGAATCCGATGATTCAGAGGATGAAGACCTTGGAATGTGGTATGAGTTGCCCTGCTATGAAAATACAATAGAAAACGATGAAACGTCTGAGCCATTTTGTCTAGATTTCGACGTTCAAGAAGAACTTTTGAAAGATGTTTCAGAAGAACAAGCAAGTGACAATGTGGAGACTGGACCAGACATACTTAAAAACTCTGACCTGCAAGAGACAAGTACTTCTCAGAAAAAAGAGACTCAGACTGCAAACCTGACTCATGTGACATGCAGACCGATCATGAAACCAGAAGACCTGAAAGACTCAGAAAAGCTCCTTCGAGACTTACTTACGACTCACCAGGAAGTCCTAGTGTTGTTTCTCCAACGGTTAAATATGTTTCATGTGTGTATAAGTGGATCACCTCCCCTTTTGTAACTTGAGTTTACCTTACTTGATTATATGCCATAAGTCATGAGGGCATGCCTTTTTTTGGTGGAGGGAGAGTGTAATAACCTGATTATTTTGTATCAGGATATTTTTATTTAAGTCATTAGCAATAAGAGTCATTTATTTCATGTCATTATACATTTCTTAGTTTGTTATAAAAAAGGTTAAAATATGCCATTTGCATTACATTTAAAACTGTTCATGAATACAGGTCATTTCATTTATGGTGCACAAGTTAAAACCCCGGGATATTTTATTTAGTTGTTTTTGACTTTGCTGGTGTCAATCACATACGTAGCTACGCACTGCGTAAGGTGAGTGAGCGAGCGAGAGAGAGAGAGAGGAAAAAAGAAACGAGGAGCACGAAGCAATGAACTGCAATGGCGACGCTCGCAGAAGATTTGCTCTTGCGAAAAACAGACTAAAAAGACTGTAGAGCTGTGCTACCGTTGGACTGGATAATTCCCCTTGTTCCGGAGGACCGTGGAGGACTCGTGGACGATCAAGGGGGTGAGTTTGAACAATTTTCCCAGCCCGTGGTTGGGGGAGCTAGCAGTAAAGCTAAGCTAAGCTAAATGTTGCTATCACCGTGTCTGCTTAGACCCAGACGGGGGAGAGACGGTGTGGTCATCGGAGATCGGCACTCACCTGCGTTGAGGACGACAGTCAGAGTGGATTCCGTGTACACATTTTGTTCTGCTTTTTCTTGACCGTATGGACCGTGAAGAATAACGGTAGGATTGAACCAAAACTTTTCCAAACTGAGCTCCAACGCGCGCCAACATAAATGCAAGCTTGCTTCTAAATCGAGTGCACTCGTGGTAAAGACTGGTATAAACTTTCTTTGAGGGGGATTATTTTATTTGCTTTTTTCATTTTCTATGCAATAATTATTTGTTCAATACATAATTCCTTTTGAACTCATTTGCTGCGTGTGTTTCTCATTAATAGTGCAAGGTAATATAGGTAAAGATACACGTTTTGAGTTGTTCGATATGTTAATTCTGGGAAGCCTCATTTTAATAATTTAAATTGTGAGGATCATACTTCTAACCTAGACTATTGGTTTTATACATTGGAATGTCTCTTTTACCATTTTAATTAATACAACGAGCCGGGTGGTAAAAGGGTTACACCTACATTTTGCATTGCATTAAAAGTTCATGTTTGAGCCCAAAAGTAATATGTTGTGAACAAATTAAACAGATTTAGAGCCAGCAAATGGCTGACAATATGCATTTCAGTCTTTTTTGACCAATTCTCATCGCTGTAACAAACAACAGTATTGTCTGTGTCCACCTCCCTCACTCTGAGACATGTTTATTACTCTCTTTAATGTAGACTATTGCATTTTATTTTATTGTTGAAACTGCACATATCCTGATCCTCTACAGTATTTGCTTCCACATACTGTATAAACTAGGAGTCGGCAACCTGCGGCTCCGGAGGCGCATGCGTCTTTTTCCTTCTGTAGAAGGAAAAACGTTCTTAACGTTTTTAAATGCTGTAAAATTGTGCATAAATAATATTCAATTTAAACATTTCTGTCAACGTAGTGCGTCATATCCTGCGACGTAGGCCCGCGCCAGGCGGCCGCTGTTGTAAACAAACCGGCGTGTGAGCTCTGCTTGTGTACAAGTCTCTCCATGGTCCCGCTCCAAAATATATTAGTGACATGTTAGTCCCATATGAACCAGCCCGGACTCTGAGGAGCACAGGGACTGGACTCCTGTTAGTGCCCAGAGTCAGGACTAAACATGGGGAGGCTTTTCAGATTCATGCTGCTAAAATCTGGAACAGTCTTCCTGAAGATGTGAGACAGGCCTCCTCTCTGACAATGTTTAAAACCAGGTTAAAAACAGTTCTGTTTAGCTATGCATACAACTGAGGGATTTTATATTTTTTATCTTTCTTTTTAATGTTCTGTGATTATTTATGATTTTAATGCTTTCATATTTTGTTCAGCACTTTGAGTTGCCTTGTGTATGAATTGTGCTATATAAATAACTTTCCTTTCCTCTCCTTGACTGTGCGCATGGATCCCAAAGCTAAAAAGAGAAGAGTCGATAATAAGACTGGACTAAGAATGAAAATTTGCATTTGCTTTCAGTCAATGAGGAAGGCCTGCTTCATGTTTGCGATGTAATGAGAAGTTTCTATGAGATAATTGTATCTGTGCTTAGTAACTACAAAAATGGCCGCTCTGGGTGGAGTTGAACCTGTGTCACCTGGATGGGGGCGTGGTCAAAAGCGCCTCATTTGCATTTAAAGAGACAGCACCAAAACAGGTTGCTCTCAGACGCACCTCAGAACAGGTGTAAAAGAAAGGCCCGTGGAGCTACAAATAATGAGACTCAGACCCAGGCATTGCAGTTACGCTTTATATAGGCCACAAATTAATGATTTAGATGTAAAAATCAATTATTTGAAAACACGATATGTCCACTTTAAAGTCTTCATCACCTGACTCACATGTAAACAACAGGCTAAAAAAACAGTTCCATTGCTGTCTAAATAACCACTATTTTTGGCTGCTGTGTTCCCACTTAGCACAGCTTGGCAAAAAGACAGGTTGAGGCCCCATAATGAAACAGATTAACACAACACAAAGCAAAATCCAAGCATGCAATAAAGCAAAAGGTGAGTCTGAAGTGAGACATACAGTAAATAAGGGCACATAAGGATATCATATTTGCATGTCCTACACACACAAACCTGACTGATACAAATGCTAAATGTGCAGCGCTGTGTCACAAATGAAATAGTTTGAGAGAACAGTGTGCAAGTTTTGTCTGTGACCTGGTTTCCTCTTCCTCTCGTTTGCATCATACTGTATGTGTCGGGATGTGATCAAACAGGCACATGCTCCGTCTCTACTGGCAGCGCACTCCACCAGCTCAGGAAACATGTGTTGAATTGGCAATGAGCTGAACGGGTTTTATTTAGCTGCAAAATAATCTATATTTATTCATACTTGGAAGTGAAAAAATATATACATGTTCACACCTCATTTATATTGTGTGATTGTGATTGTGGCTCGATTCAATGCAAGTAGACTACACAATTGATTTAGTTGCCACGACACTGCCAATGCATTAAAGAAGAAATAGTGTACATTATTTTTGACAATTAAACATGATAATGATACTTTATTACTTTACTTTGTTATTTCATGTTTTAGAATTCAATTCAATTTATTCTTGTATAGCCCTAAATAACAACAGTAGCTTTATCTCGGAGGACTTTACACAACCGTTGTATTCGCCAACACAAAACCGAGAATCAAGAAATAAAAATAAAAAACACTATAATTTTTTCTATATAGTGAACACACGATTCACTTTCTGGCAGGTACAACATTCAAACCCCTCTGCGTCTTTGTATTTAGGTTTTATAATATTAATACATTCAAATGAAAGAGGTTCAGTTTGTCAGACTCAGCACTGTTATTATTTCAGGCGGCATTGTCATAACAATTACTGTTGCTTTCAGTTCAAACCCATTGTGTCACGTTCCTTCCAATGGACTTTTCTTTCAGAAGAAAGCAGCAGTGAGTTTCTGTCATTTGACAACTGGGGCACAGCCAGACTCAAAGAAATCAGTACTCCTCAGAAAAGTTGAGGTGAATTGTACTATACGTATGCAATATGGGGAACTAGGAAAGCAGAAAATCTACCCTGGAATGTAAATGTGCTCTTATCCCTGAAGGGAACTTTCATTTGACCCATCCTGGAAATGCCACTAGGGCAGGCATGTCCAAACTCAGGCCCAGAACAGCCCGATCCCAGTCAAGACAGTTTTTCAGTCAGTGATGTCGGCCCCAGGACTAATCTGGTGAACTAAAGTGGTCCTCTTACTAAAAAGTTTGGACACCCCTGCACTAGGGCGTCTGTCAGGAGCAGTGGTCGCCGTAATGTAGCGCTCGGCTTGGTCAGGACTATGTTTTTTTTAGTGGTAGGGGCAACCGGAGCACCCTTAGAAAACCTACACAGACACGAGGAGAACAGGCTAATTCCACTCAGACAGGCCCTGTTCTGACTGGGATTTGAACCCAGAACAATCTTGGTGAGAAGAGAGAGTGCTCACCACACTGCCACCGTGCTACCTCACTTTTGGATATCCCGAAATGTTTTGAATGAATCTAGTTTAGATGTTTTCAAATGAGGAAATGAAAACTCAATTCCTTATATCTATTGCAGACTTCTCTGAAAAAAGACTCTGTGTCAATTTAAAATAATTCAAGACTGAGGTGGTGTTTACGCGGAGACGCTGTGACAGTAAAAAGGTAGAGTTGGGTATCGGTTTGGCCTTTTAGTTCACATGACGACGGTGTTTCAAGAGGGTGAAAAAGCAAGCGTGTAGAACAGAGGTGTGAATTCTCCGGCTGCAGTGACCTCCACTTCCCTGCACGTACATTTGGACATGCGCAGTAGCCGAGAACCAACGCAAACAACAATGGCGGTGGATCGACTATTGCTACGTGTGCGTCGAGCGCTACACGGAGGAGAATTCTACTTTGTTCAACCCAACGAATCCACTCAAATCTCTTGTTTCAGTTTCTATTTTTGCTGTGGCTGTTAAATGCCGAATTATGTTAGTGTATTCTTTCACGTCTTTGCAGCGGCCTGACGAGGATGTTTTTAAGGAAGTGATACACTGGTGGGGGTCGCATGTGTTGTGGTATAAAGTTCCACTGCCCCCTACTGCCCGGTGCTTGAACTACATTTCTGGCGTGGTGTATGCGCTGTAGAAAAAAGGAGCTTGGTCATTTTTGCTAATTGCTTTGCAGCGTCTCCGCAGCATCTTGGTCTAAACGCGGTCTTACGATCAGACTGAAACATTTTCAGATAAAAACAAAAAAATATCTTCCAAATTCCGCCAGTATTTAAACAACTGAAATCCACTACATGTAAATTTCTCCTGTGTGAGATTAATAAAGTATATCTTATCTTATCTTACATGTAATGTGATTGATTTATTTGTAAGAGGAATATAGAACTTTTCAACCAGCGGCAAACTACATAAGTGTATACTGACCCACAATTTGCATCACAAATACAAATTATTTTTTTAATTATTTTGTTTAAATGAAAATGATAATACTACGTTTGTGCCTTCATCTCTCATAAAAGCTCTTTCATGCATCTTTTCTTCTGTATCATTACCAACTTCCACTATTAGTTCTAAAAACAGCTTTTAGCAGTAATAAAAAGCAGGGAGTGAGTCTGTTGGGGAAACCACATTAGCAGGCACCAGGCATGGTAATATGAGAGATTTAAAAGTGTTATTAAAAAAGTCACTCTGACAGACGCCCCATGGGTTTAGTGCATGGGCGTGTGTCTCCTGATTAAACAATGAGCTCTAAGCCATTAGTGGAGACCTGTCTGTGTGTATGTTCACCGGAGCCCACTGCTCTGTGCCCAGACTGTGAATGAGGCCTCCTAATCCCTGCATCAGCATCCTCCCTCCTAACTTTACCTCTTCTGTTTGTCTTTCACATTGTTCTTTGGAGGCACATTGTGTTCTGTGGCCACAAAATATGATTGCACATATTTAATGTTTTAGTTTAGTTTGACTTTGGTATATTCTAAATCTACATTATCTGGTTGGAGAATAAATATGAAGTGATGGAACATTGCAATCAGTGATCATTTAGTCAGTGACTGTCTTGGCTATCAATAC